TCTCAACCTCATGACTGCACCCAACACTACCTCTTGTGCATTCAACAAACTCCTCCTGCACTCTGAAAAGACTTTTGCACAAGCCATTCCTTCTCCACGTTATCAACGTCAAAAACTCTCTTGTTATAGTATAATTTATCTTTGTTGAGCAAAACAAGTATTATTACCTTCCAATACAAGCAAAAAAGAGTAAAGTACAGACTGCTATATTTGGATCAAGTTAGCCTTACAGCTAAAAGGAATATCAGTAACTAGAAGAAAGTGCTTTAACCCACAAAGACTTATTCCAAGCTTCATGGATGAATTCTTAATAATAAAGCATATAAATTTTGAATATTATACCAATTTGTTACCACAATAGAGTGATGGTATCAATTCAAACGCAAATTATGCTTTAAACTCAGCAGCTTGGAGCCATATCTAGATTTCCATCCTTGCCCGAGACGGAGAAATGGCGATCAGGATTCATCAGGAAAAGGTGTGAGGAATTTATATACATCGGTCATGAATGATGTCCGAAAACATCAACAAGGTCCGTCGGCATCGTCCCAAAGAACCAAACCATTGATACAAAAAGTTTCAACAGTCCTAAAGGACATGAAGTCGGATTTTAAGAAATGTTTCGAAACGAGGCTGGTAGCACTCGGCCCTTTGCATCACGGTAACCCCAAGTTCGATCGTGCGGAGTAGTCGAAGCTTAAATTCGCGGCAGTCTTCATATTCGAGAACGAAACAACCTGCGATGTCTTGTTTGGCAAGATTATGGAAGAGATACAAGATTTGAGGAACTGTTATGATCCGAATGAGATTGAAGACTACGATGACGAAAAGCTAGCATGGATGCTGTTCATAGACGGTTGTGCGGTATTGTGTGCCGTGCACTACGGTATGAAAGGCGATTTCCAGAAGTTGAATACCAAAGCGAATCTTCTGGTATTTGCACAACTCGATTTTTTTTTGCTCGAAAACCAGATTCCTTACAGGGTTCTGCGGATACTGATTGACTCAGCCATTGAACCCCAAAAGTGGAAACAGTCAATCACAGACTTCATCAACCGCAACCTGATGACAAACATACACCATGATGAGCACAAGAGCCAAATGAATGCAACGAAAGGTAGGGAAGATTATGCTCACCTTCTGGAACGGTTACGGAAAGAACTCTTAACAGGGGACGACGAAAAAGATAAACAACACAGTAACATGATCGGTCGGATGCTTTTGAGGTGCGGCGACGGTCGAAAACATAGGATTCGAAAAACGTTTCGCAGCATCAAGGATCTTAAGGAATCAGGGATTCACGTTGAGCCGAACAAGACGAATAGCCTCAAGAACATTTCATTCTACTGCAGATTCCTAGGAAAAATAACGATGCCACGTCTCTTGGTGGACGACTCGACGGCCGCCATGTTCATGAACTTGATAGCTTTAGAAATGTGTCGGCCTGTCGGGACTTCGACAACGAGTTTGAGGTGACTAGTTACTTATGCTTCCTTGACTCTCTCATCGATACGGTGGAAGATGTTAAGGAGCTGAGAGTCGCCGGTATGCTTCATAATTACTTGGGCAGGGACGAAGAAGTGGCCGATCTTTTTAACAAAATAAGCAGGGATTTGGTCCCTGACCAGGATAAGTATTCGGGTGTCGTTAACGACATTCATAGGTTCTGCAACAATATATGGACGCCGGCCGTGGCACAAGTCTATTACAGCCATTTTAGTAGCCCATGGACTTTCCTTGCACTCTTGGGTGCCATTATAAGCCTTCTTTTCTCTGCTACTCGGGCTTATTTATCGTTGCCGGGGAACAGACCGGAAAATGAGCGGAATCCTTGAAACCAGTCCTCCTTTCTTAAAGTGTGCTTTCAATCATCTGTTTTTTATTTTATGCAATAATCTTCCGCTTTTTATTACGGTAATTCCCTGCCTCCATTGTTGACCAGCGTTGTGTGCTGCAATTTCATATTTGGTTCGTACTTCATTGTATGAAAGAGTTGTTTGGTTTCGTGCTGTAATTCTTTCTTCTTTGGTTTAATTTGCAACACCGTTTAAAAATTATTGGCTTGTATATTGATTTATATTGGCGATGAATGTTGAAGTGTTCGACTCAGATTATTTATTTGGGGAGAATACGTCATTCGATTCGGATCACTTAAGAAAAACATGTTCGATTCGGATCACTTAAGAAAAACATGTCATTCTTAATCACTAGAATCATCAGATCATCATTCAAGGAGCATATGTAGTTCTTTATTACAAAAATCACTTCTTAAATTCTACTGTTTTATTTTTTTTTATTTAATTTGTACAACCATTTTCAAAAATAAAAATGGCTTTTGCATATTGATTTATTGGTGACGACATTTTCAAGAGTTTATATTTAGGATAAATTATTATAAGAATCAATATAATCTAAATAAATAATTATGATAAGAATCAATTATTGCACTAAATTAACATACTAATAATCGAATAAATCTAAGAAAACTCTCACATAATTTATTATATTTAATAAAAGGGTAAACTACACGGGAACCACCAAACTATGGTCAAAAATCATTTTGACCACCAACGTTTCAATTTAATCAATCTTACCACCCAATTATTTAAATGCTTCAATCAAATCACATTCCGTTAATTTTTAACAGATGTGGTGACGTTTCCGTTAATAAAATTAGTATAATTATATATTTAGTCCATATTATTTATATATTATATCAATTTAGTCATATATTTAATAAATTAAAATAAATTTAATATTTGAATCAAATTGTGTCACGTGCCACCATTTGGTTGGAGGGTTAAATTAATTTAATTGATTTTAATTTAATATATTTATTTTCCACCAATAAGAGGGTGACAATAAGATTAGATTCAGGGTGGTATAGGTGAGCAACCATACACTAAACCAACGAGCCAAGGCTACTTCTTGGTTGCAAATGACAATATGTTGTATATATTTGACATCATTTTGTATTAATAATTAACTTAATTTTATAATAATTTATGTATTTTTAATAAAATAATTTATGTATTTTAACTTTAAAAATATATTTAATTTTTATCTTAACTTATTCAATATATTTTTATCAAATTAAATTAAAATATATATTTTATACTTGTTTTAATTAAAAAAATTTATTCTTATCTAACTTAAAAATATATTTTATTTCATCTTTACTTTTAAAAATATAATTTTATTTTCATTTTAACTTTTAAAAATGTATTGTATTCCTACTTTAAATTATTAAATATGTTATAATTATATATTAACACAAAAATATTTTAATCTTATTTTAGCTTAAACAATATACTTTATTTTGTGTTAACTTAAAATGTATATTTTATTCTAATATATATTTTATTCTTATCTTGATATAAAAAATATATTTTATTTTAATCTTAACTTTAAAAATATATATTTTATTTTTATCTTAATTTAAAAATATTTTTAACATATATTTAATAAGTTAATGTAATAATAATAATATATATATGGAATATATTTAAATTAATAAAAAATAAAATATATTTTTAAAATTTAAGATAAGAACAAAATATATTTTTCAGTTAAAATAAAAAAATAAAATATATTTTTAAGTTAAGCTAAGAATAAAATAAATATTTTTAAATTAAAAATAATAATAAAATATTTAAAAAAATTAAATTTAGAATAAAATATATTTAACAATTTATAATAAAAAATATTTTTAAAGTCGAGAATATAAAATATTATAAAATTATTATTTTTGACACGTATCACTATTTGATTTGAGGATTAAATCTATTTAATTAATTTATTTTTAAATTTATTAAATAATATTAAGGACTAAATATATAATTATACAAATTTTATTAATGGACACATCACCACCTCCATTAAAAATTAACCGCCGACGGCTTGATTGAAGCATTTAAATAGTTAGGTGGTATGATTGATTAAATTGAAATGTTGATGGTCAAAATGATTTTTAACCATAGTTTAGTGTTCCTCAATGTAGTTTACCCTTAATAAAATTACAAATACATCAGTATTACTCTCTTGGTCATTTTAAAGAGCTGAAAATTATATGATTTGACAAACAAAACCATGAAGGCTTTCATATGTGAATAAAACATAAACTAATTTAGGTTATTATTTTTATTTGTCTAGTGAGATAGGCACTAGATTCTTTAAACAAGGTTGAATGTTTGAATATTGATGTTTGTGAATGGAGCAAATTGAGTTGGGAGAGTCGTCATCGCCTCTGCAATACCCGATCTGGATTAATCGATCAATATAACGGATATCAGTGATTAATTCAAAATTTTTGAGGTGTAATTATTTTACAACAATAAATCTTTGATCCCGAATTCAAGCACTAAGAATGTAAGAATATGAACATTCAATGTTAAATGATTGTAAGAAAAAAAAATATTTGTTCGTCAACCTTTAGGAACACCATTAACCTGAAAACTCGGCATATACAATCGAACAATCCTTGTTTCACATATAACATGCTATAGAAAGTGTCATAAACCGTATCATAAACCAGTCCCTGTGAAAAATTTAAATTCTTATATATTTTAGATAATTTTTTTTATATTTTTATTGATAATTTATTTTGTCCCATATAATTTTATAAACTTACTCCTTAAAATATTTATAAGTCTACTCCTTTCCATAAAATTCTTCGTCCGTCTTGATAATAGGTTCTTACGTGCAAGGACAAGCAAGCTTAATTGCAATTACCATCTAAAGGAAAGAAAAAGCAATTTGAACAAGTGATTTCCAATATTTCCAAGCTGTAATATCAGCCATCTGCATTTTAGAATAATTTGATACGTAGACACCGATGATACTGATTAACCATGCATAGCGATGAATTCTAACATCTCCATTAACAACATGTGTCATAGTTCACCTAGCTCTTATGTGCTTCTTGCTGCTACTACCTGAGCTAAGAGTGTGCAACATCGGCCATTGGTAAATATATGGAGCTAAATGCAGGAGACCATGAATGGCCTGATAGAACAACAATGTTTGTGTACATAAATGAAGAAATCTAATAATATTGTGTTCAGTAAGAAATTACAGTGTCCATTCTTCCTCGTAAATTAACTATCATGATTATACAGTATCAACATTTATAGGGGGAAAACTAGTAAAATGAAGCCCACCAACAAACTTAAGCATGAAATAAATGGATATCCTGATCATCTTATTCTGTATCTTGAACTAAATTATTGATCATGTTGGCCAAAGGAAGAGTTCCCTTGGCCATAATCTCTAACCTGGAAGTATTTGAGGCATGATAGAACAGGGAAAACCCAAAAGTTATGAGTTCTGGAAGAAACAACCTAGACGACAAGAATCCATGCCAATAATGGGGTTCCAGATCAAAAAATGCATCGAAAAACCTTCTTGTTGCCGGTAAATCAAGCTTTAGAAGAATATCCATGCCAAAACAGAAGAACTCTCTTTGTCTCCTTCGTTCTATGGGCCATAGATCTCTCCATACTTCTACAGACAACTTGTTTCCCGGCAAGTTCCTTCCAGGGTCAAGGTACCGAACTATGGCGTCTGCAACAATTGGAGCAGCTGCAAGAGTTCTTGCAACCATATACCCTGTTGAAGGGTGCACCATCCCAGCCGTGCCACCAATTCCCACGACTCTTTGAGGTAGCACCGGAAGAGGCCCGCCCATTGGAATAACACAATGCTCGTCCTCTTCGATGCTAGTAACTTTTATTCCCAGGTGCCTTAACCTGGCCACCATTCTCTCCTTGATATCATCCATTGGCACCCCCGGTCGAGCAACTAGAGAAGTTTCCTCGAGAAATATTTTGTTGGATGAGAAGGGCATTGCATATAGAAATGTGGGAATTCTACTATTTCTCTCCCTCAAATCCTTACAATTGGCAAGATGTGAGTCTCTCCAGTCCATAAAAACCATCTTTTCTACATCGAACGGGTGTTCTTCCACCTCGGCTAAAATTCCATAGGCCACTTGATAGCCTGGATTATAAGGCTTATCATACTGAACAAGGCACCGAGAAAATCCGGTAGCATCGAGAACAACGGTAGCCTCAACCGTGGCACCATCATTGCAAATCAACAAAGACTTTGATTCCACATGAATAACCTTAATAACCTTTGCCTGGTGAAATTTCACACCACTAGATATGCACTTTAGCAACATTTTGGACTTGAGCTGCTTCCTGTTAACCCTTCCATAAGGTCGATCGAGATGTTTCGTTCTTCGGTCATCGATATACACAACAGCACCGGACCAAGTAGTATCAAGGCAATCAAGCAAATCCATAGCTTCGAATTCATCCACCCAAACACCATAGTTATTAGGCCAAATCAATTTGGGAGATGGGTCAATCGAACACACCGAAAGCCCCGCCTGTGAAACCTGTTGAGCAACAGCAAGACCAGCAGGGCCACCTCCAACAACGGCTAAATCCACCACAGTACCCTTTGATGGATCAAACATAGGAAGCTCAACCTCTAAATTTTCCTTCTTAGTTTCTGGAACCAACTCTAAAAGAGCACTTCTACTCGCCTTAACCTTAACACAACCATTATCATCCCTACCACATCCCAAAAAGGATTTGTTGGGACCAAACTTAACCTCCTGGATTTTATTAAAAGCTTTCACAGAAAACCCATGGATTAGTAAACGAGAAAATTCGAGCTTGCTGTGCGTTCTAAGTAAAGTATCCATGGAATTCCAACAAAGGGTCTTCTAATACCTTACTCAAATCCAAAAAAGAAAAAAAGAGTTTCTCCAAAATCACTTCTAGATCATTACTGCTAGAAGTTGAGATTACAACATTGAATCTGGGATGAAGAATGAGAAGAAAAGACTCACCAAAACAAGGATATGAATTGAAGAAATAGAGAGAAACTTGGGGTATGCCTCATTTGTGTAGCTTCATAGAAAGAGATAATTGTAAAGCTTTGAGTGGTCGGCTCTCACGACACTGGAACTGATGTGGATTTCCCAATTTTTTTAAATTTTGGATTAAGTACACTATATGTCACTAAACTATGCTAAAAAGATTTGTTTATCAATTAACTTTCAAAATTTATAAATTATCATTACAGTTTTCTAACAATTACAAAATAATCATTATATTTCATCAAAATATTATGAAATTATCATTAAATTTATCCAAAAATTACAATTAATTGTAACATTATAATGATGTTTTATAATAATTTGAAAATGTTGAAAATATTAATGACTAACTTATAATTTTTAAAAGATCAATTGCAAAATTTATTTTGATATAGTTCAGTGAATTCTAATGTACTTTACCCTTTTTTTCTTTGGAGAGTGGAGAGACCATATACATTTAGTTTTATGGATGCACGAAACGCCACGTGTCTTCCTGGATGCCTTAGATGACTAAGATTATTGTCTGAAGTCAGAAAGTTGTCGACATCCAAATAGTTATCCACGGTGAGGACATTAGAGAATTTTATACGTTTTTATTTGGTGAATATAAATGACAAATTAGCGCTAACCAAATTGTTGTTATTCATTAGAGATCAAAGTTCAAATATTACAAATATTTAAAATAAATATGATCATGTATTCACTTCAGATTAATAAAAAAATATAAATTAAATTATTATTATAAATTTAAATTTTGATTATTATGCGTGTGAATAATATTTATTTTTTATATTGACAGTGCTCAACTAAAATGATAACCGACTCATCAATATAATAATTGTGTTAGTAATAGAATGAATATAAGGGGCTAAGAAAAAACAACTGTAATGAAAATTAAGTTGCTTTCCCAACAGTAATTTTTAAGACGGGATGAAATTGACCACAAAATAAATAAATAAATAAATATTGCAAATATTTTTAGTTATACAAATTTACAAGAGTAAATAAAAAATTAATCATGGTAAAATTTCTCACCGACTCATAATGCAAGTTGCCAACAGCTAGAAATTGATTAATTGACGGTAGTAAATTTTGCGCCTTTTTTTAGTTGGATATCCCACACATTAGCAAAAACTTCAGCTTGACATTAAATACGCCAGGGAAGGGAAGTACCCCAAAAATAGCCCTGCCAACTTGGCAAATATAAAGATTGGTCTTGAAGTTAACCATCTACAACATCACCTTGGTTATCACCATCATGGATACTATTGGGATTTTCAGTAGCAACTGTTTGATTCAGGGTGTTACCGGCATTAGCATCATCGTCGCCATATTCTGATACCGAGCTGTCATCCTTCTCTGGACAATCCAGTTGCAGACATTCAGCTACTTCAGTGCTACAATTTTCTGAACTGGGGCTTCTACTTGAGGGTGCCAAATCTTCTTTCTTTACGACATTGAGCATAAGTCCGTTAAGGAACCTTTCAGGCTGCAGGAGATCACCTTCATAGACCATAATGCTTGAACCATTAATCGGTGGTGTATTCCCGAAATCCCTATGACCGAACTCGTGTTCTGAACCTCTATCTGTTGTTGTCATCCTTGGGCTGTGACTAAAAGAATCCCCACCACCCAACTGAAATCCAGGAGAACTAGGATGAGTCATCAGACCTTTGTTCGCTTCAGCTTCGGCATCTAGATTTTGAAGAAAATCAATTAACAAATTTGCAGAAGTTGTCCTCATCAATGGGCCACCGGACCTTGTCCAAGAATGTACGTTTACACTTTCAGACTCACTATCACTTCCATCATAGGCACTGCGATGGGCTCGCAAACTCCTGCCAGGTGGCATTCCTGACGAACTCCCTACTCCATGATGCAAAGGTTCTAAGAGATCATCTTCAAGGGAGCCTGTTGAGTTTTCTCTAGCAATGCAATTCCAAGAAGGAATTCTCTTTGAAGCACTGAATCTGGCTGTGTTGGTGGGTCCATGAGATGAAGCAGAAGCAGAAGCAGAGGCAGCTCTATCAGCGCTCCGTTTAAGCCTACGCATGTGATTAAGAATTGAAACACACTCGTCAAGGACAAGCTCAATGCCACAGTTTGCTTTCATAGCTGAAAGCTTCTCCCAAGTGCATCTTCTCCCTTGGTTGGCTGCCTTTTGAAGCTCCACAAGAGTAGGGTTTTGAAGAATTTTCAAGTACTGTTAATAGTTAAAGCCATAAAAAAAATTCCAGTCAGACACCATTGAAAACATTATCGAATGATATGGATACGAAAAACAGCAAAGATAGACTCGGTTAATACATAAAACCTGAAGCTACTCTGCCCATTTCTCAAATAAATACAAATCTAGGTTTGAATGCCACTAAATGGCAGTGCTCAAGCTTTCACCACTTTCTAATTTGAATGTCACCGAAGGCAAGCCTTAAAGTGATTTTGAAGGTACCTGATAAACTGTGGCTGGCATAACAACAGTAACATCACCTTCCCAATCTTGAGCAAATATCTTGGCAAGTCCCCCCATCCGAAAGCCCAGTTTGAGTATTTGACTACATCTATGTTTAACCTCCATCTCAATTAGGTGAGCAAGCTACAATTTGAAACAACAAAACTAGTTTATTTCAATTCAGCATGAAAATAATAGGACAAGTAAACTTACAGATATAGTAATGACTAACAAGATCATAATACATAAAATATTTCAAATACAGCCATAAGCATTCTTTTAGAAGCTTCTTTGTTAAACCATGACGGAAAACCTCAGAAATAAAATGTAATGCTGCACATACATATCATTTGTTCCTACGTAAATGCATTACCAACACCATGAATTTCTATGAATGACTCTGCAGCACCACTTGCCCATATAAAACAGCAGTTGACTGAAAACCTTGTCTGATATCACTATGCAAAGTATAGGACTAGTTACTCTATTAATCATTAGATCTATATGACGGTGCATGCCTATGCGTCAGAGAGAAACTAGAAGGCCATGGTGGTTAAGGTCAGAGATTTATATTACACAATGATGAGAAGAAAACATAAACCAAAAGGATTTTTTTTCTTTCTTGACCATATACAAGTACCTTTGCTGCAAAGTTACCGCCAATGGCTCTAGCAAACTCCTTCATCCTCAACCATGGTATGATATGAGGGTTTGCCTGACTCACAATGAAATGATTGACATTGAACAGCTCCTTCAGTTGCATCATAGGTAAATCAACCTCCAAGCTTCCATCCCTCCATCGACGAGCAGTTGTACTAGAACCCTCTTCAGGATCCAAATTAAAGGGAGGATGATAAGGAACAAGTTCTCCACTCCTATCTTTTGCCATTAGCTCCTGGGCTTCAAAAAGGCCGGGAAAGGCACAAGAAGCGCTTACAGCACTCCATATGACAACATGAGGTGAAGTCAAGTAATTAAGGCATCTAGGCGGCTCATGCTTCCTCGGAGAGCAAACAGTTATCCCAAGAACCCGTCCAGTCATATCATAAGCTTCTTGAAATGTAAGATTACTTGTGAGGTGTCTTAACATCCATTGCATGTGCCTGATCTCATGAACAGCCCCTTGTCTCATGACCCTCCTAACAACAGCAAATATTCCACCCAGCTGATCATAAAACTGCAACGAACACCAAGAGTCTTCAAAGAAACTTTGCAGCTCAGGCCATGACCTGGTGCCAACAATTGCACACATAATGGATCCTACACTAGAACCAGCAATTATCCTGGGTAAAAGCTTATGCTCTACTAGTGTTTTAACGACACCAGTATGAAATGCTCCAAGAGAAGCACCCCCACTTAAAAGCAAAGCAGTTCTACCAAATGCATGCCTCGTTTCATGCATAAAAGCAAGCTTCTCTTCCAAGGAGAGCTCCTCCGAATCAGATTCACAAACCATTCTCAACTGAGTCGAGACCTCATCAATATAATCCTTGATGAGTTTAGGCACCTGAAGCCTTCCTTTATGAAGCTCAGGATTACACATATTACCAAGATTTCGTATAAGATCAGCTCTCATGCAAAAGATTATATCTCTCAAAGATCCGTCTTCGCGACGATGTCGGAGCTCCTGAAGCTTGTTTCTCACAAGTTCCACGTCATAAAAATTCGATTCGTTCATCTTTGGGGTCTCTTTATCAAGCATCTTAGCAGCATGAGCCCACTCTTCATATGTCAATGCAGTTCTCATCATATTTCTCCAAAATTTCCTTCTATAAGCCATTTCAGCCCTCAATTTTACATTTGTGTATCGTTTCAACAAAAATGCAATAATTGTCACCAATGCCAATATCCCTTGTGGATTTCGGGGATGCAACCATGATAGAATGGGCGAAAAGAAGTTCTTACATCTATAGAACAAACCCAACAACACACGAAATATTTGATGCCTGAAATGTGACATTGACTTACACAACAGGATCCTAAAAGCAATCGTTCGACCAATTATTGTCGACGGACCAATCGAAAATGAATCAACACTGGCCTCATTACTTATATCCATAGCTAGTTTACAATGTTATTTTCCTGTGTCGGGACGGTTTGCTAATTGGTAACAGTCAGGAACTGGGACCGTATAACAAATAAGGAACCAGAGAACGTTGATCTAAGATAAATATAGGTGGTCAGCAGACAACAAATGCTCTAAAAGGGTATGAAGAAATAAAATGAATGGAGACAGTATTGGCGTTGTTTTGCACCAAATTGAATTCAGAAGCACTAAAGATCAATGAGAAACTGATCCTATAAGCCTAATTTCACTTCCTTCCATTGTATTCATACTTAAAGCTTTAGCTATCCTCTTCGTATAGCATTAAACGAAAAGAAAAGAAGAAAATCAGCAGAATAAAAGGCAATTCTATTTGAACATGGTATAACGCAATGAAGGGATAAAAGTTATAGTTTCCAACAAATTCTCTGAGTATCTGTAAAAAGAAACAAGTCAAAGAAGAACTCGATTGCAAATGTAATTACCAACAGGAACCCAATTCGCTTAATATCTACAAAAAAAAAATCATAGAAACCCCAGAATTCTAATTCCCATCAACACACGAGAGTCAATAACCTAAACGGAACGAAGCCCAGAAACTCAAAAAGGACCCTGAAAATTTGACTATGATATCATATTTCACAACTTACCTAACCAGATAAAGGTCAAGGGTTTTCCTTTGGCAATCCAGAATTCGCAAATACAAACGAAGGAAAACCCAGGAAAAGAAAAGCAGATACATCCCTATTGCGCTGATATAATGAAAGCAGCAGCAGAAGCAGCTAAATGTAACGTGAAAGCGAGACCATTGGGATCTGTGAAAGATATAAAGGTGCCGGTGAACCGAAGATTCAGGATAGAGTCCGTGAAGATTTGTGTAATAAAATACGCCCAAGATAAGCAAAATCAAGGAGAAGATAAGATTCTGATCGTTGGGAAACGAACTTTCTATTTATAAAACATATAAAAGAAGAGTGTTAAAGGGTCATTGAATGGTTTTGGCGCAAACGACGACACATTTTTGTTGCTTTATCTTGAAGCAAATACCGCTTTATTTTCACATGTACCCAACTCTGAACATGAGGGTGAGTATTCTATCGATCCGATTCGAGTGTAATCGTGTAACAAAATTATGAGTTTCTCATTTTATTATTTCAAATTTTTATTTTAATAAACAACTTTCGAGTTATTAAAGTTAATGAGTTCATTTTTATAACTTAAAATTTATTTATTTTTGAATCGAATTAGTTGATTTGTTCGAATTTCTATTTAAATTTAATTATAAATATTTATAATGTTATTGTACTATTTGATTTCAATTTAAATGATTTTCTATAGTCAAATACGATATATATATATATATATATATATATATTTCTTCATATGTAATACATATATCATGCGTACTTGAGAGATTTAACTCAAACTTGAAAATCAAATCACAAATTACTAAAAATTTAGAGTTATATTTTATAACTCAAATTTAAAATTTTTCGAATTGAGTTTATAAAATTATGAGTCAAATTTATTCAAATCGAAGTTTTAGAGTCAATTAAATTAAAAAAAATAATTTTTTTCATCGAGTTTTATTCATTCCTAACTCTAGTTTAACGTTACATTTAGATGTTGTTTTCTTATTTCATATCTATTCTTCCTATCAAAATATTAAATAAATTTATCTTTTAGTTCAATTCGAATATCAATTTTGTTTAAAATTATAATAAATTTCTTTTATAAGATTTTAAATAAAATAAATAAAAGTAATTACTTAAAATCCAAACACATAACTAATATCTTACGTGTATATAGTTTTAATCATTTTATTTATGACTATTTGTTAAATTTGTTTATTCAAATATGATAGAATTTTAATCTTTATATGAATATTTGTTAGTTAAATTTTTTATCATTAATTAATCTAACATTAACTGAATTAAAATTTTTAAGATATTCTTGTTTTGAATTATAATAAATACTATTATTGTTATGAATATTTATTTATACGGATATAAATCTTTATCTATAAAATGAGATTTTGATAAATGTTATTATTAGATCTCTAATATCAATTAGTATTAGAATTGTATATTATATATACTACTTATGGCTATAAATATAAAGATTAGAGAAAATATTGTATATAACTTAGATTGAGATAATAATACAATTATCTCTCTTTATTTTTATATATCTTCTTCTTGTTAGTCTTGTTTTTCTTAATTATTTTTTATTTCACAACAATTACATCATATTTATTTTTATATTTTTTATATAATATTTAAATAGATAATTGATCACACTTTTAATGATTAAATTTGTGTTTTATAAGATTCATGTATAAATTTTTTTGTTATTTCATTATTAGTTATTATTGATGGAATTTTACAATTATAAATTTTACAAAAAACTTTTTTTTACTTATAATGTGAGTGAAAAAATATAATATTTTTAAAGCGTAGTATAATTTATGATATCAACTTAATTAAAAAAAGTGCATAAAAATAAAGTATAAGATAAAAAATTATTTATAAAATTATAGCATAAATTCAATCATATATGTATCAATAAGTAACTAATTCTAGAAATAATCAATTTATGATATGTTTAAAATTATATTATTTTTGAAATATTAAACAATATTTTACTCGCAATACAAATGTGATAAATTATTTAATAATTAAAATATCATAATAGTTATTAAAATCTATCATTTTTGTCTGTGATTTTGCTTTAAAATTATATTTTTTTATCAATTACATATTTCAGGAGTACATAATATTGGATATAACGTGCTAATTTCATAGGGGCGTTCGTTTATTGTAATGATTACATATATTGTGATTAATTGACTTCTAAAACATTAGATTGTCACGACATAATATTTTGTGCCTGTTTATTTATTTATTTATTTATTTAAATTTTACCGTCAATAATAACGTCTTATTTTACAACAATCGTTCCAACAGTTTTTTGATAAGACAATTGACAAATTTATTTATTTAAATCTTTTGATAGACGGCCACATTAAACAATCTTATCAGTTTATAGATAATAATCATAATCCTAAGACCGACACCATCAAATACTAGTGGTTAGTATAAAAAAACTCCTAAAAAACAAGAGGAGTTTGGTCTTTACCGAATTATCTTCTTTCTCCAAAACTAGTACCATACATCTCAACCGCCTAGAACTCCACCATATATAACCGGGGTATATTACTCGATAATCGACTATGATTCTCTGTCCAAATCAAAAGAGTGACCACTATTAGCCGTCAAATTCAATTTTATTCCATCAATAATTTGTCTATTTATTATTAAGTTATAGAACTGAATTGATATAAAAATTAATTAAAATCCATTTAGTTAAAAAGATTAAAAAATTTAAAAAAAATTAAGGAAGCGTTAAAGTATTTAAAAATAACAAATAAAATTTCTGTATCGTTTATGTATGCGATATCATGAAAGTGTTTATATTATTGATTTTAAGTAAATAATCATTTACATGTTTATTACTGTATAGTTTGACTTTAATGACTTAACGTACGATTTATTTATTTGTTCTCCCCAGATATTAAGTTAAAGATAGAAGATTATCAACCAAAAAGCTACATGGAACGAATGAGTCATAACGTACTCTTAATATGTAATGCATTATTCCTTTGAGAATGACATGTATAGGGTTAGTCTAGAGTTAAAGGGTGTTTACAGTTGATTTGCATACATCCATCCACAAATTCAATGGATGATGGAATGTATTATTCATGAATTTGCATGTTTAAGCTAAATCACATGATATGCATGAAAGTGGAATAATCTTTTTTTTAAGTACTAAATTGCATGACATGTCAAAAAAAATAATCTGTTAGATGTCTGATTATGAAAATTTAATTTACATATATAATTATTTATATGAAACATGTCTTCTCATGATTTAAACTTTAAACAAAATGAAATTTGTTATACATACATAAACTTGAACTGGTGCAGCAGATTGAGATTTCAAGGACACAAGTGTAGATCGGAGTCGAATTTGAGAAGATTACCAAGAACAAGATTAGAGAAATTGTACAACTCTCAAAATGGTTAAAATATCTTTGTCGAGTGAAATTTTGAGCTCATTTTGATATTGGCCTAGCTTCATTATTTCTTCTGCCCTCTCTTGCAGTTATGGCTATCTCTTTCAATGGTCCATTTGGAAAGACCATGATTTCTGAGCCTGTGTCTGAGCCTGAGCCTGAGCCTGAGCCTGAGCCTGAGCCTGAGCCTGAGCCTGAAGCATCAATTTGTTAGAGAGATGCATTACAGCAGAAAACCAATGGAAATCGGAACCATCATTGTCTAGGAGAAAGCAGTTGAGGGGATGAAAGTTGTAGTAGTGGAGATTGCAAGTTACAATGTACATTATGAGCATGCTCAAGTGGGAGATAAACATTATGCATGTCTGACTTATCATCATTGTCCCCTGCTAGAATAGATTGAAGGAATAGCCGATAGCTTCATTTTTCGCAACAAACTGCGAGCAAGAGGCAAAAAACAAAGCCTAGAACAGAGTTAAATATCCTGCATTCTTGGCCTTGCTCCACGAGAAACACATTCCTATAAATTGGTTAAGATTAGGCATACACAACATAAACTATACTTTCAAGTTTCTTGTCTGAGCTATAGGATTTCAGTAATTCAAGAAAATACTAGTAGCCAAGTCATGTTTACTCTGATAATTTCTATGCAGGTAAGATGCTTCATCAATTCTCCACTCCCTTCACCAACTCCATGTAACATAACTCTAATCCAAGATAGAAATCTGGTTCAAAGCCTACCACATTTAAGGATTTAAGCAATGAATCACTAGCACAATCGTAGCCAAATAAAAAGAAAGGCCAAAATCAAACTGAATTCCAACAAGACAAATATTATTAAGAATGCTAACATTCACATCATCTCTAGAATGCTACTATTCCACTTGAAAATGAGGTTGAGATGACACACCAAGAATAATGAAGAATGGAAGAAAAATATTATTGACACTGGTATTGGAAGCATTCGATTACGCAAAAAGTAAATCATTCAAACTACTTGTTCCAAAAGCTACTAAAAAGTTCCAATAGAGGCCAAAATTACAAGGGGGGCAATAGATTAAGTAATTAAAAGGAAAGTTCTGAAACCTGCTCATCTGCTCATCTACTCCTCTACTGCATCTTTTCTTTTTCTTTTCTTCTTTTTCTTCATTTCACTTTCATCGGCTCTTGCATCGTTTGCACCATTAACAACAGCAATAGCCTCCTCACTCTCTTCGTCGCCCTTCTTCTTCCTCTTATTTTTCTTCTTTTCACTTTCACCACACCCTGCACTATTAACAGCAGCAACAGCCTCGTTGCCGTCTTTGTTATTTTCACTTTCATCACCCCTTGCATCATTTGCACAAAAAACAACAGCAACAGCCTCCTTGTTCTCATTGTTCTTTTCACTTTCATCACTCCATGCATCATTAGCACTAACATTATCAACAGCAATAGCATCATCACTCTCTTTGTCCTTCTTCTTCTTTTTCTTCTTTTCACTTTCATCACCCCTTACATCATCTGCAGTATCAACAACAGTAGTCTCCTCACTCTCTTTGTTGTTCTTCTTCTTTTTCCTCTTTTCACTTTCATCAACCCCTGCATCAGTTGCACTATCAACAACAGCAAAAGCCTCCTTGCTCGCTTTGTTCTTTTCACTTTCATCAGCTCCTACATCATTAGCACTATTAGCAACAGCAATAGCCTCCTCGCTCTTTACGTTCTTTTCACTTTCATCAGCTCCCGCATCATTAGCACTATTATCAACAACAATAGCCTCCTCACTCTCTTTGCCTTTCCTCTTCTTCCTTTTCCTCTTTTCACTTTCATCGACCCTTGCATCATTTGCACTATCAACAACAGCAATAGCCTTCTTGCTCGCTTTGTTCTTTTCTCTTCCATCAGCTCCTACATCAGTAACACTATTGGCAACAGCCTTCTCGCTCTCTTTGTTCTTTTCACTTACATCAGCACCTGCTTCATTAGCACTATTATCAACAGCAATAACCGCCGCACTCTCTTTGCATTTCCTCTTCTTCTTCTTCGTTTTCTTCATTTCATTTTCACCACCCCCTGCTTCATTTGCACCATCAACAACAGCAATAGCTTCCTTTGTCGCTTTGTTCTTTTCACTTTCATCAGCTCCTACATCATTAGCACTATTAGCAACAGCAACACCCTTCTCGTTCTCTTTATTCTTTTCACTTTCATCAGCTCCTGCATCATTAGCACTATCATCAACAGCAATAGCCTCCTCACTCTCTTTGCCTTTTCTCCTCTTCTTCTTCTTTTTCTTCATTTCACTTTCATCAACCCCCGCACCATTTAAACTATCAACAACAGAAATAGCCTCCTTGCTCGCTTTGTTCTTTTCACTTTCATCAGCTCCTACATCATTAGCACTATTAGAGCCAGCAACAGCCTCCTCGCTCACTTTGTTCTTTTCACTTTCATCAGCTCCTGCATCATTAGCACTATTATCAACGGCAATAGCCTCCTCACTCTCTTTGCCTTTCCTCTTCTTCTTCTTCTTTTTCCTCTTTTCACTTTCATCGACCCCTGCATCATTTGAACTACCAAGAACAGCAATAGCCTCCTTGCTTGCTTTGTTCTTTTCACTTTCATAAGCTCCTACATCATTAGCAATATTAGCAACATCAACAGCCTCTTCGCTAACTTCGTTCTTTTCACTTTCATCGGCTCCTGCATCATTAGCACTATCATCAACAGCGATAGCTTCCTCACTCTCTTTTCCTTTCCTCTTCTTCTTCTTCGTTTTCTTCATTTCACTTTCATCAGCCCCTGCGTCATTTGCACTAATAACAAGAGCAACGGCAACGGCTTCCTCGCTTTCTTTGTTCTTTTCACTTCCATCATCCCCTGCATCATTAACAAGAGAAACAGCCTCCTCAATCTCTTTGCACTTGTCTGTATCATGTGAACCAGCTCCAACCATATCTTCATCCACAATTCCCTTCTCCTCCTCGGTCTTCTTTTCATTTTCAGCATCAGAATCCTTTTTATTCTTCTTCTCAACATCACCTTCAACCATATCTTCATCCACAATCCCCTTCTCCTCCTCGGTCTTCTTTTCAGTTTCAGCATCAGAGTCCCGTTTATTCTTCTTCTCAACATCATCTTGATCTCCTGGCTCTTCAACTTTAGTTTTCTTAGAAAAAACTGGAACAATTCTATCACTACATTCATCCAATTTACGCTTGCGGCCATCCCCATCTCCATCTCCCTCCTTATCCTTTCCCTTTCCCTTTTTTTCTTTTTCCTTTTCCAACATTTCCACGATAGAATCCCAATTATCTGGAAATACGACATTTCTCAACCACTCTTTAGGAGTACTTTCGTTAAAAACTATCATCGGTTCAGCAGAAGCAGCCACGTTTGCAAACTTAGAATATGCATCAGCTGGAAACACCGCTTTTTTGAGACACTCCTTGTTTGGCTCTCCTTCATTGGTTTCAGACCTACGCCTGTTTTTTCCCTTGTGCTTTGTCCTGCGAGTCATGGTGGCTGTTATTCTTCTCCTTTTCCTTTTGGTTTAGGGTTTTTAGTAGGGAAAAGAAGGGATATTTACGATTTACGATTTACGGGGTTAGGGTGGGGATATATTGGGTCTGTCTGGACTCGAATTAAGTTGTAATAAGAGGTTTGGGCTTTTATTATAGTTTTACATCTTTTTTTATAATTTACATTTTATATCAGTAAATTTTATTTTAATTACAAATTTTTAATTTAATCAAATTAAATCATTTAATCTCAAATATTAATAAATTAAATCATTTATATTAACATCATTCATTAATTTAATAAAAAATTAAATTAACACTTTTATTTAATATATTCTTTACATATCATCATCAAATAAATTTTAATTATATTTTGTTAGATTTTATAAAAAAAATAGTTTGTCTTTTATGTTTATTTGAATGAAATATTAGATTCAAATTGATAGAATGTGTAAGTATATAGTATCAAATATATAATTATATCAATTTTGTTAATCGTCACGTCATCTCCTCGGTGAAATGTTAATAACAAATAACTTGATTTTTATTATTTTTATAATTAAATTATATGATTAAAAAATTAAAAAATTGATGATCAAATTAAAAAATTTATAGTTAAAAGTTCGACAATTAGATTAAATGTTTAGACCTTTTATTTTTATACTGATTTTCCTTGTTAATGAATTTGTTTTATGATAATAAAAAAAGCCTTTACGATCGTTTTTGGTTTTTATTATTCATTTACTAAGAAATTAAACAAGTTAAGCTTATTTGTATGCTATTGACACAAATCGAAATCGGTAGGTACAATAGGGATGAGTCATTAAGGTTCCTCTTTTCAGCTTTTTTTTAGTATAGTAATATATTTTAAGTTATTAAATTTAAATATTAATTAAATAAATTTTTTATCTCATCTTATTTTTTAATTTAAATACTTAATAAGTTTTTGTTCTTTCAAAAAAAAAAGTAATTTGATCTCTTTTAATATTTAATCTTAGCTCTATATCTAGATATAAGTGAAATATCTCAAATTGATGTCTTTCTAACATGGACATATAGACTGCACAAGCAAGTATATAGTGAGATGATGAAAGATAATTCTCTCGTTTTTTTTTCACTAAAATTTTACAATAATTTTTTACATTTTTAAATTTTTAGTAAACGAATACATGAAAATGATCAAATTGACACCTGAGTTATTTAACAACCTTGTTCTCTCTAGAGGTGTTGATGTTGCAGGTACACTTACCACTGCTGAGATGCTTCACAGATTAACCTGGTTCGCTAATAGACACCTTCAGCGAGGCTGATGGATGCACCGAGGGCTGCTCGTATTCTTCGCCGGTTTCTCGGCATATTTAGCCGGTTCTGCAGAATACCTGGGACTTGATTGCAACAAACTCAGATTCTTCGCCACGGATTCAGCATCCCTTTCAATGCCTATTTCAAGCAATTGAACGATACACATTTAAGTTCAATGATCTACCAACATTTTCCTTTATTTTGAAGATAATAGGCAAAGCTTATTCTCACCACCATTTGTTGGTAATATGGTTTCCATTTCGTGGGATTAGATGAAATCTTCGATGGAGATCTTCATCGGTGACAGGGTCAAAAGTATCTGCGAGCCAATCAGCAATGTCGTTGCCATCAGAGACATCATCCTCGGTGTTGTCGTAGAAGCCATCCTCATCCTGGTGCTGGCTGATCCAATAGTCCTGGTACCATGCCGTTGTCGTCACCAATTGCCACCATTCTGGTGAGAAATCTTCCACTTGGCGATAAAAAGCAGGGACAGAGAGGGGCATTGGGGTTCAATGTCGACGTTCCTCCCGCAACTAGAGCCATTATACCGATCGTGTTTGTCTATCCCTTAATTCTGAAATAAACAACAATTTAAACAAAATCAACAAATGATGGATGATTAAAATGGGGAAAAAATCAGAAATTCCTAGATTGAAACAAATCATAAACTTGACTCGGCCACATGCTATAGCGCAACAACCCAAAAACATAATAGTCAAAACAAAGACGTTTCAAAAGATTTAATCTATTCATAAGCAGATGGAACTTGGAACCAACGAATTGACAAATCCTTAAAATGGAAAAAGTGTAACGAATATACAAAAATCAAATCATAAGCAGAAAGAATAGCCGATCACTTTCCAGAAATGTGTAATCTATTAACAGACTCAGATCAGCAGATAGTAAAGATTTCCAGTTTCCCAAACTTTGAAAAGCGTTCAACGATCTTATCACTTATGAAACACCAAAAAGTAAAGTGAAGGACTCAAAAGAAAAAGACTCCATCCGCTCATGAGTAAAGCATAGAATTACAACAATCATAATTTCAAATTAAAATTATAATTCAAAATTCAAACAATTACTGCGGATGCCTAATCTATCTAATCAAGCGACAAATGAGCTTGCGATAACAGAATCCTGTAAACTTCAAAATCACAATACCGTTTGTTTACCGAAAAAATGGATGACAAGAAGCACTTACTACTCGTACATGTAACCTAACTTCCATCAGTATTTTAATTTTATATCAACTAATAAATTGAATCCATTTTCCACAACTCTTCTTTCACTTTATCACCGATCAAACAAAAAAGCAAACTCTGATGATTAGATGAAAATTTCAGAGATAAAGATTTAGTAAGTACCTTTGCGCAGGGTGATCGTAAACTCTTTCGAAGTATCTGTTGAATTTTGTGAAATCCTTGGTAGAGAAGTCAGAAGATAGGTCAGGTTCGGTATTATCCAAAGCAAGAATAGAAAAATATTACTGAACGGCCTGCGGGCTGCGGGGACGGTGGGTCAAACATTCTTGTCGCTACTCGGGTCTTACCTTGCTGGCTCTTTTTGACTTTGACTTCTGCGGTTAAAACATTTTTACCGTTATTATTTTACCATTTAATTTTTAAAATATAAACCTCCCAAAATAAAATTTCAAATAACATAACAAATTTTAAAATTTAATTATTTTATTTGCCATATTTTTATCTACTTTCAATTCTAATTTTAACTTTTATTTTTTTAGTTTACATGTGACATAAAAAATCAAATATATAAAGGATAGTTTTATTTTTAGTGCCACAAATAATAATAAAATAATATCCAGGGTGTCTCATTATGTTGAATAAAGGTGTCTCAATAATTGCTTATTAAATTAATGAGAAATAATAAGTTATCAATAATAGTTGTATTTCAGTTAATTTAGGCAGAAGCAGCTTTCTTGATATTAACGCCACTTCATAATTCTCCATCGAAATTAATGAGCTTTTTAATTATTAGTTTGAAAAATTAACAAAAAAAAAATCCAAACAAATGAAGTATGGGGTATTTACCGAAAAATCATTGATTTTTTTTATTTACGTATCATATATCGTTAGAGAAAATATTACGAATTTAGGATCCTTTGCAGAAAAGCGTGTTCTATACATCTCGTTTTACGTTGATGTGGCGTCACGTGTTGAAAGGCGCGGCCTATAAACAGCGCCTTACGCCAGTTGGAGCCACATCAGCGTAAGGTTCGATGCATGGGTTGCATCTTTCTGCCAGCTAACACACGTGCCAGAAAGGCATGGTGCATGGGTTGAGCCTTTCATAATTGTGTATGAATTTCTCGACTTTTAAACTTTTCCTTCGGCTATAAATAATATGCTCTCAACCTGTAAACATCACCAAGCAATCCTCTTATATTTTATTCAGAACTTCGTTCGATCTTTCGTTGTAAGGTAATTTTTTTAATATATAATTTTTTTATATATATGATTATTTGAAAAAAATTATTGTACTAATTATTTTCTATTAATTTTTATAGTTGTAAAATTGGAAAACGGGATCATACCTCGAAACATTTTTGCCGATACGGTAATAATATAAAATTATATTATTTAAATTATTTATGTTTATTTGTAAAAAAAATTATTGCGTTATATTTTAATTCATATATTATTTATTTAATTAGACTTATTTTACTTTTTTTGGCAGATATGAAATTGTCTCCCTTTCAAACTCTCAGAATGACGTAAATTTCAGCTATTGTTTACTATGATGGAGAAATTTGTGAAGATGAAACTGGCGTTGTGTTCGTATCAAATCATTCTGTTAACATATCTTTCAAGAGAAACATAACTCTTGAGGAGCTAATAACGAAGATTTCAAGGAAGGTTCATGTTGGAAGTACTAGAAGATTGTCATCGCTTCAGTACATATTTCCAATATCAGTGTTTCCGTTAACTTATACAACGTTCGAACTATCGATCGATGATGATGTTGAAATGATTGTTGATTCTCAAAATCATTATTCAGACTCCGATACAGAGATGTATACAAAGTTTGTTAAAGTGTGTGATGTTCGGGGTATGTCATTAAGCTCCCTCTATAAGCTGTCTCAACAAACTGATCAAGTTAACAGCCCAACTACAGTAATGTGTAATGATTTTAACGCCATAATGGGAAATCTGCATCATGGTGACATCACATCAAGTTCAATGGGGAGACATCATCAGCAACTCCTTACGATATTTACCAAGGTGTGTCCATAAACAATCTGTATGGCAACATCGCGTCCAGTTCAAGGGGAATGCATTCATCTGCCAATTTCTTTGACCTAAATATGGAGATGCCCTTGACACAACAACCTGTGCAGTTCCGCAGGGAGGTGACTATCTGTCTCGATGAGGATTTATTCGTATAACTTGTTCTGACTCCTCACTGTCATCATCATCACCACCACCACCACCACCATCGTCGTCGTCGTCGTCGTCATCAGGAGCATATACATTTTGTTAATGAAGAACTGATGACGATGTAACACCTCCATAGAATAAGGACCCTGTAGGTGTATGACTGACTATCTCACCACTCATAAAAATTTGGGAAAACTGAGAAAACACAGACATCGATTGGTGAGAAAACTGTACATGAGGTGTCTGTGCGGCGGCCATCGGTAGTGAGGCTGAACCTGCCAAATAACTAGTATATGAACCCCAAGTCGAATCTGCAAACATAGAACCATAATATCTTCCATGAGGGGTCATATAATTCTGTGGCGGTGGCGATATTTGGTATAGGAATGGCGGTAGCAACATCTGGTATGGGAACGGCGGTAGCGGCATCTGATATGGCTGCGGACCCATATGAACTGGTTGTGGGGTGTACATCGTTGCAGACGGTGGCTGCTGTGAAGGTTCCAGTGTTGTAGCTGACGACGAATCGAAAGCACCTACTCTCCGTCCACGAGTCGAGGGACGATGGGATTGTGACGGTGCACATCTCTGTCGACGTCGATGAATTCTCCGTCCTCATGTATCCTCTGAAAGTAGGAACAGTTTCCCGCTACTGTTGAACCACTCGTAATAACCATCTGCAACCGTCAAATGGTCCACATAAATGGGTTCTCTATGGGGAATGTGCCGACGTCGATCCTCCCATATCATTACCCACTCATAATGCTTCAGCAGTTAATCTATATCTTTTTTACCGCGTCGATCAATGTTATGCAACTCGTTGAGATTTTGAGGTGCTTCCGAAATTGATTGTACAAAACCAAATTGTCAGAGCACGCGATCAGTGGGTGCCACTCGAAAATCGCATAAAAGATCAGAGGGACCACCGTCATCCAAACATCTAAAGGGCCCCTTAACTCATGTGGGATGCAAATCCTCATATCATTAATATAAGGAGCCCATTTAAACTAAAACAAATATATATAATTCTTATCAAAATAATAATATAATTATATAACGATAATACAAAATAGATTTTCAAACATTTAAATACATACCTCTGTGCCAGCCTTCTGATCAATTAATAGCCTCATTACTTCTAATTCATCAGGTATATCTCGATGATTTTTCCTGTCAATAGACCATATTCAAGGAAATAAATTTTATTATATACTAGATAAAATTATTAATATATGAAATCAGTAATGTAATTACCTCAATAATAGCGGGAATAATAACGTGTTATTCACAATAGGACATAAAAAGGGCATGCGATACCATGCCCAATACTGCAACAAAATGAGACATTCACCGATAGTATTTTTCCTATAGTCAGTATAGCTCGACACATTTCCCTTTACAGGAATGCCAAAACTGCCGAGCCCTAACTTAATATTCCAGTCAGATGAAAATCGGCGAGATGTCGCAATCACATACAGTAAACTTGGTTGCGTGATTTATCCGGCATCAGCAGCCCTCCTATCAGCTGTAGTATGCATGCCTGTGCATACTTTTTTATCTGATCCTCCGAGGCATGCTCACTCAAATTTTGAAAATTTGCATCCAACCAATTTAACTGAATCCGATCACCGTTAAAATTTGGTGGGACACCTCCTAGATATTCCTGGCACAATGAATTCCAATTACCATGTGTAACCCCTGAAAGCACATCTCCATCCACCGAAAGCCCCAAGTGCATAGAAACATCCTCCAGCATAATCATGCATTCTCCGCACGAAAGATAGAATTTGTGTGTCTTCAGTCTCCATCGCTCGACTAACGCAGAAATCAGGTTTGGTTCTATCTTACAGTTGCCTTCATATCTACCTACGTAACCGAATCCAACTTTGACTAAATATGGTCAGACACGGGTTGGTATCTCTAACGTAAGGTTACAAATAAAATGATCTAATATACGATCACTCTCCTAAAATTATTAATAATTAAAAAAATTAATATATAAACTAATAATAAAAAAATAAAAAAATAAATTATTACTATTAATTTAAATTAAAATAGAGTTTAAAACTATTATCGTATCAACAAAATGTCTCGAGATATGATTTATATCCAAACGAAGCATACCGCATTCCATTTTATAACTACAAAAAAATAATATAAAATAAATTAATAAAATACTAAAATATTAATTTAATGGAATATAATATAATATATTACATTACAAATAAAATTTGATCGGGTTTTAGCTTTAAGAGGGTTTAGTTTTTATATGGTTTAAGAGGATTTGGTGTGATGGAAATAGTTGAAAGGGGGTATTTATAGGATGCGATGGAGTTTGGGCGGATGGGTAGGGGGAGTATGAACGGTTGGGATTTAATTATGAAAGGCGCGGTCCTTGTACCGCGCCTTTCATAGATGTGGCTCCAGCTGGCGTAAGGCGCGGTTCATGGGCCGCGCCTTTCTGTAAAGAGTGCTAGATCCGTAATATTTTCTCTAACGGTGTCTGACACGTAAATAAAAAAATCAGTGATTTTTCGGTAAATATGGCATGAAGCAAAGTATTTTTTTATTCGATCAAAATAGTTTTATATTACACTATAGCATACCTAATATATACATAAAGAAAATGATAAATGACATATTTAATAATCTAATTATTTAATTGATTTTATTTTAGTTATTTAATTATTTTTTTAAAATTCATATCAAATATTATGTTTTAGTTTTATTTTAGTTAATTATCGTTAAAAATTAACAGAATTATTGAATTAAATTTTAAAAAAAAATTCTATTGATGATATGATATTATATTATGATGACACATCAGTATTTTTGTCAGTTTTTAATGGTGGATGACCATAATGAAACTAGAACGTAATATTATGTATGATTTAAAAAAATAGTTAGGTGATCAAAACAGAATCATTCGGATAGCTAGGTGACTAAATATGTAGTTTATCCTAAAGAAAAATATAAAATAATATGGACGGGTCCCGCTGACGCTGGTATTCGTGGATGGAACTGATTGGTTAAAAAAGAAAGAATCGGACGGCTGAGATGAAGGGATAGGGACAAAGAGTAAAAGAAAAAAAGGGAAGCAATGAGCGTAGGGCATGCGGATTGTGGAATTGTTGGTAGGTGAGGTAAAAGCATGATTAGAGATTGAGAATGACACCTCATTTTGTTTGTTATACTAAAATAATATAGATAGGGCATCTTTATCCTGCAACCTCATCATCTTATCCCTTTTATTTTATTCATCAAAAGATATTAGGTTGTCCAAAAAAAATTCATTTTATATATTATAGGATTTCTTTTTAGAAAAAAAATAATTCTTACTAGGTTTGGCATAAAAAATTGTTATCATATTAATTATTTAGTTAAATTAGATATTAGATCCTTTACATAATATTTAAAGTTCGAAATCTATAGATAAAAAAAATAGTTTAGAAGGGCACGACTTGTAATGAATTTATATAATATCCAATTCAAATTAGTTTAGATTCAATGTCTATAGTTACAAAAAAGTTTGCTAAATCATCTAAGATATATATATATATATATATATATATATATATGTATGTATGTATATGTATGTATGTCAAGAACTTCCAGAGGATCAAAGGTCGGATGCGATGAGCAGCATGATTTTTAAGACCCGGTCTACAAGTGTGCTGCGACGATTTGTCAGTTGCAAAGGCAAGTGAATGAGCTTCAAGCACAGTTAGCCAAAGCACAAGCTGAAGTCGTCAACATGCAATTGAACATGAATGTTTACTTTGTCGAAAATATACTGTTGCAAAACGAGATATTAGCACTGATCGGAAAATATTAGATGAAATATATAAAAGAGACGATAATCATGTGATATTAACCGTTATGTTATAAGTGAGTTCACTCCGATGTGTGTAATCACTATAATAGATGAATGGTCCCTCAAAGTTAGTACAACTCTTAAAGTTTCGTACACTTTAAAGATGGAGTAGACTTTAATAATATTCTTCTCTCAAAATTCGAAATTAGAACTTAAAAAAATCATGAAAACGTTAAGAAGAAAAATAATGTTTCAAAATAAATATTTACTTGAGACATCAATTGAGAAGATTTGCACACTATTTATAAGTTAAGTAGTGAGGGCAAACGTCATTTCATTCAACAACATTAAAATACTATTAAACAAAAATTAAACTATCATTAAAATGCTAATTATGAGCATTAACAACACACTTTATATGGAGATAAGACAGTGGTCTCCAACATATTTCTCTAGGTTTTCTTCGAAAATTATATTCTGATTGTCATTTTTTATTTATCGAGTGATGTAACCTATGTAATATCACAAAATTTTCGGAGTTTCATATCTTTCGAATTCGTCATTTCTTCAAAACTTCTTCTCCTTCATATAGTTACAGAACTTGACGTGACATCTGACATGCTTATAAAATCTGTTAAAATCAAATTCAGATTCAGTCAACCAACCTCCTGTAATAATCATAACCTAAGCTTTAACACCAACAACGGGGATTAGAGTATGGACCTTCATGTAAGACTGAGAAGGGTATCCTGAATACTTTCTCTCTCAACCTCCACACTATTTATGATCGTCAGCTCGTCAATCTTTATTCAACCATTCTCTACCCAAATTAAGAATAACTGATTTATAGTCGTCGAACTCCATAGTTTACCATCAAGAATATATATTGGGGGTAATATAAAGTGAAGGATGTAGTTTACTTTGTTAAACTTTGGGCAAAGTAGATACTCCTTTATCCTTGTAATTTTTGAAGTTTGGAAGAAAGAGAATCTATATAGACAAACAAATCCCAAAATTGAAGATTATGTACCAAATTTGTTAATTCAAAATAAAAATTTCAACGGCTGTTATGTATCTGTTCAGAGTTACATTTGCAGGTCCGACTTGTCAACAAAATGACTTTGAAGTTTGATGTTTGAGGGGGGGGAAAAGCATGCAGGCATGATACAGTGGTTGAGCGTATCAATCAAATTTACATTACTGTTAAAGGATTCAGAGAAACAATGTTTTACAGCCGGTAAGAAGAAGAATCAAGAGAAGAAATTCGGCGGCAATGGGGGCAAATAATCAGACCGTTCTCATTGCACCGCGTACATGTACTGGACGACAAGCCATCATCGGCAATGATCTTGTGACTGCCATTACAGACAAAACAAAGCAGAAACCGAACACCTCCACATCCTTCACAAGCTCCAGTACAAGTATCAAGAGGGATGCCATTGAAGAGTACCTTAAGCTTCCCCTTCTCATGCAATGTAACAACTTCGTCGGCTCCACCAATGTATCTCCCTTTAACGAAGAGCCTCGGAGGCATCACTTTTCCACCCAAAATCCTCCATAGTTCTTCCCTGTACTCCCTATGCATCGATACGTCTCTTTCGACGAAAATCACTCGGAAACTCTCCAACAGGAACCGCAAGCTGTTGCAGTCCTCGAAGGTCTTTCGTATTCCTTTGAGAGTCGTCGTGTATAAAATGACGGACCCCTCGTCTCCGGCTGGACATTTCTCTTCGAAATCTAATAGGGGATCGACGTTCGGAGTCTCTTCCTCGATTATTGCCTTTTTCTCAGCTCCTTTTCTGGTGGTTTCATCACTGCCTTCCAGGGTTCTTACCTTCTTCTCAAGAACACTCTCTTCCTCGATTCTTGTCCTCCTCTCTTCTTCAATCATCTTCATATGCTCCTTCACGGCTTGCTCAAAGGCAGCCAGTAGGTTAGGGTCAAAGAGGGTACAAGAATTCAAATCCGGCTTCCGGAAACACGACACATCGATCTCCGATAACGGGGCGCAACTCTGCCTACAATTCGCATTCTTTTTCTCAACATTAGGCGTAATATTCTCTTTGTCGTCAACCTCTTCACTAAAACCCAATTCTTCTTCGTGGTCATCAGTATCAAGATCTTTCATTAGGTCTATTACATCAATGACTTCAGGCAGATTCTCGACGGCACTTACAGAGCTCTCTTTGATATTTTCTTGTTCCGGTACTGATTCTTTGACGAACAACTTGGGTTGTTCATTGGGAATTGGGGCCTTGGGACAAGAATCTATTAACCCATCTATCGAAAATACTTGAAGAACTCGATCTGCCTTTAGGTAACCAACTGGTTTGATTGATTTAAGCTTCTTCAAGAGCTTTCCTTTCACACCATTCATTCTTTCTTCCATTTTTTTTAATTTCCCGCTCCAGATGTCAAATTTAATCTGATTCGGGACAGGAAGCAAGAAAAATAAAAATAAAATCGACGATTTGGTGTTCGAATCTAACAAAAGACTGAGCTTTCAGTTTTGTTTAATGCAGAGAGAGCGAGTGAGGGAAGGGGAAGAGTTTTCAACGGCTAGAAAGATTAAACTTTTAAAATTAGAATCCGATGTAGACAAAAATTACTTCTGGAAAGGTAAGTTGAGTTGCATCCATAAGATAAATGCCACGTGGGTAAATGATAGTGGAGGGACACGTGGGAGGTAGCGATAGGGGAGTTTGATGGGAAATATGAGAATCAAGGGCAACGGTCATAATTTGCTTTGGTGACCTATACACTCGAGCATCTGCTACCTTTCTATATTAGCTTTCCGTTTTAAATACTCTCTCACTCGTGAATCAGTTACATAAATATTAAGAATAAATTGATTTTGTTGTATGAAGTTGTCTCTTCTGACAAACAAGTATGTTTGATCAATTGATACATACATGTTTGGTCTTAATCTTTATAATTAACCCCAACGCACAATGCAGATTACTAAAAGATAAATGCAAAACAAGCGGTGAAGTTCTTATCAAGAACATCTAAAAAATGTAATGTTACAAAAAATGCAAGGGTACACTAACAATTCACGGTAGCTGAAACCTGAATGAAAATCTCTCATATAACCAAATTAGAATCTCTCTCTATGCTACTAACTCCAACACCATACAAATTGTGACAAGCTTCTGCCACAACTCTAAGATTGGAAAACTGTATATTCATGCTTGTGCAGAACCGGCACGATTTTTCTAAGTTCCCACTGGCATGGCTACACCGCATAGAGCAACGGTCATCAGGTGTTTTTCTCCTCTACCATCATAATTAAGAGGATACCTACCATAATCATGCCTTTCTACTTCTTCCGCTGCCTGCGGACTTTCACAAATCTTCTGGTAGACTTGTCACCATCGCTTGTGCCCAAGGAGAAGCTCCCTCCAGCACCAAATTCCTGACTGCTGGAAGCCTGGAATGGAGATGGATTATGTGATGTGGTTGGTTGGGCACCAAATTGAAACGTTGCTCCTGCTGGGTTTGATGCACCAAAAGGAGACCCCGATGCGGGTGGTGAGATTGGCAGTTGACCGAATGTTGGAACAGTTGTTGAAGCCTGAGCAGTGTCATCTGCCATAGTATCCTCCATTTGATCATTATTACTAGATGGAGTTGACCCAAACACCAAGCCGTAACTGGTGTTACCAAACACATTCTGTGATGGAGTAGCAACTGCAGCTGGAGTTGACCCAAACACCAAGCCCGGATTGGTGTTACCAAACACAGACTGTGACGGGGTAGCAACTGCAGCTGAAGTGAAAGAAAATATGGAGTTTGAGGAGGCACCAGTGGACAACCCAAAGAGTGCAGGTGCAGTGCTAGGAGCAGAAACAGAAGCCGATGATCGAAAGGAAAATCCTGATGATGATGATGAATCAAATACGGGTGACTTAGGGGCTTGCCAATTGGAGCCAAATGTTCCAGAAGCAATGCCACTGCCAGAGCTCAAAGAACATTTTTCAGAAGCAAAAAAACTCATTCCAAAAGTAGCTCCCGAACCAAAAGGTTTAGCTACAGAAGCTGATGACCCGAACATTGAACTGCCAGAAGCAAAGGATGTATTCCCAGCCATTCCAAATGAAGAAAACTGAATGGGCGTGCTTTGAGTCGAGGTACCAAAGCCAGTTCCAGCAGCAAATGCTTGGGTATTAACAGCATTAAAAGTATTTAAACCCTGTGTCTGCATAGTAGATCCAGATGTAGCAGGAGAACTGAATCCAAAGATGTTGCTTCCTGTGCTAGTGATTGAAGCTGTAGTGGAAAAAGTACTACATCCTATACTAGCTATTGACAAAGATGTACCGCCAAAAATACTCCTGCCTGCATCTGTATTTGCCGATGTACCACCAAAGATACCACTGCCTGTGTTCGTCACTATGTTTGTGCTGCTGCTGAAAAAGCCACTTCCAGAGTTTGTGATGTTGGAAGATGTGTCATTGGGCATGCTACTTTCAGAGCTTGTAACTATAGCAGCCGTACAGCCAGAAGTGCTGCTAGTGCCTGTAACTGCAGATGAACCACCAAAAATATTACTTCCAGAGCTAGTAAAAGCAGAATTACTACCAAACGGACCAACATTGCCAGAGCTTTTATCCTGGGTCTTCGCTTCAGCTCCTTCCCTTGAAGTTGCTGATAAGGTTGAAACTGCAGCTGATGGGTACACAGAGGATGCAAACTTGAAAACAGGTGCAGCAGTAGAGGATGAGACTGAAGCAGCAACTGAGGGGCTGCTGCTTGTACTGCCAATGGTGGTGACATTGGCAGTTGTGGATGCAGTGGCAGCATCAAAAGTGTCACTGTTGGTGCAGGATACATGTTTGATAGAACCACTAGATGAACTTTGGCCATTATTGGGGATTAGAGCTGGTGTTGGCAAAGAGTAAGAAAAAGGACTTGAAGCAAGAGTCCCACTACTCAAAGTAAAACTATTCTTCGAGGTACCAAACATGAAGATGCTTCCAGCTGACATCGAAGTTGATACAGAAGTGGATATTGCTGTTTCAGGGGGCCTGAATAAGATCCCAGTTGGAGTGTTCTCCTTACCAGTTTTATCTGCCAAATAATTGGTTGTACCAGGAACAGAAGTAGCAAAGCTGCATATTAAACAGAAAAGGGCTTAAACAATAAATATATATTCTGATAGACTGATGTTTCCAAAAGAAGCAATATTTTGTGGTTATTAGCTAAGTAAGAAAGTGACTAGAGATAGACTAGTTAGGTATGCACACCTTTTTTTATCGCACCTGATTTCTTACTAGAACCTCGTAAGTCTTGGCAACAATTTCAATTGGGTTAATTATACATTTAATACATTACAGTCAAATTCTTGGTTTGGCACTTTAGATTAAAAACTAGAAATTCAATATTAAATTTTAGGTACCAAATCAAGGAAATGGATATAATTCAAGCACCAAATACATAGTTAGCCATTTCAAAACTAAATGCTCAATGACTGAAAAGATGTCATTTTAATTTTAAGTCTTTATAAAAGAAATATCGGTAATTTAAGTAAGCCACCAATCCTCCCAATTCACAACCCTTCTGTTGCACACCTCAACCTCATCATGCAAACCTAGAGAACTACTGTCCTGGAAGTTAGCTCCGGGATAAAGGATTCCAACAATCAAAGATCAAATATCCCAAGTGACGCAAGAACTACAACAACCAAATGTCTATTATCATAATCCTGATTTTCTATTTCCAAATTCAAAGTAGCAGCTTTTATCAATCTGACAAGGAAAATTTTCCCCATTCTTATTCTTCTTAACCTCAAGGTAGTGGAGGTAAAAGTTTGAAGGTAAAAGAAGGTAAAGCATTGGTGGAAGGTAAGGAAAATAAGCAGAGAATAAACCTCCCTTTACCATGTTTGAGCATGAGAAGGACTTGGTTGAATCTTTACGAATTAGCAACAGCTTACAGTGACATGAAATCTTCATTCAAAAAGCCTTTCGATGGGTAACATACAGGAGGATCCAAGTAAAAATCAGTAAATGTTATACTCTATTTTCAAAGTAGGAGGATTTCACAAAATTTAGAAGTGACGTCTCACAAGGGAGGTGGAATTGGTTAGATTCACATCCTTTTATAAGAACTCCCAAACATGGTAATTTACTCCCTTGAAATCAACTGTCCCTCAGTCTATTCCACTGAACCCACTGTTAGTAATTCCATGTACAATGCCTGCTGAGGCAAAAAGAGAAAGGCAGGGAAAGAGAAGGCAGAGTAAAAGACCTTCCAAGCAAGAAATGATGAGTAACTGGATGTATACACCAACCTGCTTGTGTTCTCCAGTTTTGTGTCTGAATTTGCAGTGAACTTAGCACCTGAAGGTTCACTAGCTGATGAAGTTTCATCAACATTGGAAGACGCAAAGCGAAACATGGAAGTAGAAACATCTGACTCTTTAGCTAATGCAACTTTCTCCCCAAAGCTAAGCATAGAAGTGACCTTTGGTTCCTCTGGGACAGAATCTTCCTTAGTTGTTGAAGTTGACTGAGATGCCAACAATGCTGCTGGCAGAGATGAAGTGGCAACCTTTGGCTTCTCTACGGATATAGAAGCAGCAGCAGCAGCACTCTTACTTCCTTTACCAAGTGTAGCAGATGCAGCTCCATTGGGATACCCATCATCATCCAGATCCAGATAATCCTGTGATAGACCATAAATTTTTGAAGTCATAAAAATGGAAACAGAACAACTGAAATATCAATGAAGCTTATCAATTTTCTTTGTCAATCTGAAAGAAACTATTGAAGAACTTTTCTTCCAGCATCTTTGAATCAAAACAATAGCACTTGATAGGCAGAAGTAACTGAAGGACATTTGATCATTAATATACTACTCTTTATCACCCAAAAGTCATAACCATAAAGGATATAGGACATCAATTATATCTGTTTACCCATAATGCATACCTCATTTGCACTAATCTGAAAACCCTGTCTCTTTTGTTCAGGTGGCTGTATAGCAGACTTGATAACAGAGGAATCAGCAGCTTTACCATTAGGCTCATTATCCTTCATTAAACTACCAGTAGCTATACCACTCAATGCAGGAACTGATTTATCAGAGAGAGCAACCAACATTGTTGAGCCATTTCCTTTAGCTTTATCACGGTTGTAAGACATAGAGTCTTGAGCATCAGGCAGCACCATGTGAGAATCACTCAGCTTGTCACTACCATGCATACCCAGAAATTTTGAAGAATCTACATTCTCGAGGCTTTTAAGAGATTGCCCATTTAGCGTAGATGGTGACAACTTAGTACGTGATTTTTCCCCAGGGGAGACTAACTTGTCAAGTTGCTGTAATATTTTTGAAGCCACTTCAGAAGACTTGGATGGAACAGGGGTAAAACTAGTTCCAGGACTG